CGCACTCCGCATCTCGTCTAATGTAAAGCCTCGTTACCGTTCGTTCTGTTAAAACGGAACTCCCCGTTGTTGGATTATTTTCAATCGAGTTTCATGCAATATTCAGAAGCTTAGAAATGATTTTGCAAACGGGTTTAATCGGCTTCCGCTCTCGAATTGCGACTAGGAAAAACAAGGGTATAAAGAGAAGAATAAAAATGTATATGTGGATTCCTGGTCCATGACCATTTGTGTCTTTTGAATATCTGTTTCCACCACAAAATGAAAAATGAAAATGAAAAAAAAATGAAAAAAAAATGGGGGGGGGGATAAGATAGGAAATGGAAAATCATTGAGAAGTTACCTTACTTCGATAGATCTTCGTTTAAGAACCATTTTCAAGATTTATCTGAATCTGGTGGGGGTGGGGGTGGGGGTCAATCGACAGTCCTTAATAAGGCCTATACTATAAATCCTTATTGAGTCGGCTTATGTGTTGTGTTGTTTGTGCTCTTGTTTGTGTTTGTGTGTGTTTGTGCTTGTTTGTGTGTGTGTTTTGTGAACTTGTGTTTGGTTGTGTGTGTTTGTGCTTGTTTGTGTGTGTGTTTGTCTTGTTTTGTGTGTGTTTTTGTTGTGGTTGGTATTTTAACGGATGTGTCGCTGTTTTTTTGGGTTGTCTTGCTAAACTAACCTTTGGTGTGTATGTATTTTTCTGTGTCTAAGGAGTAGCATATCATTTGATCGCATTTTAGTTCTATAAGTCCCTTATTAAGGTCTTACTTTAATAATGCAGTTACTTCCCTATTATATGAAGAATCGAATAAACCGACTTCTAGAGATTCTTTACGCAATTCGTGTCCCCGTTCGTGATGAGTTACACACAGGAAAAATTTAATCACAATACACATCTCTTGTGGGAAATCTTTTTATCTTAAGGGGGGCCGCCGCGACTAATTTTTTCAAAAATACTTCGAAATTTTGACAGAAACAATCTTCCTGTAATCTAGTAACCTTTGGCAATCCGTAACATAATGATTTTTTTTGCTTAAATACGTAAGGTGAATGAATAATGTTAAGTTACTTAACGATTAACCAGCTTCTTGTGGAATCTTATCTTAAAGGAAGTCAATGGTCACTCTGCTTAGACGCCTCCGTACCATTTATCCACACCCTAACTCTTTCCTCTATTCCTCCTTACTTCTTTCTTTCTCTCTTTTATGGTCTCCTTTACTCCTCTGAACTCTTTTAGTTTTCGCTTTATTACCTTCTCTCTCTTGTGTCCTCCTTTCTCTCTGTGACGCTTCCCTACCTTTCTTCTCTCTTATTTTTCTGTCCATTCTTCCTCTTCCTTCTCTTCTTGTTCCCCGTTCCCTGGCTCCGTCTCTTTCTAACTGGTCTGGCGTTCCTTCCCTCTGGGGTTTTCCTCTCCCTCCTTCCACCTCTCCTCCCGCCCTCTTCACCTCACCCTTCTTTCTTTCTCGCCTTCCTAAATCCTCCCTCGCCATCCTCATCCTCTTTCAGCACCAGCATTCCTTCCTCTGCTAACCTTCCTCGTCTCCTTCCTAACTTCCCTCCCTTCCTCCCCCTACCTCTTTCGCTCCCTCCCCTCCTCCTCCCCTCTTCCTATCCCCCCTCCTACCGTTCTTTAACCGCCCTTTCCTCCCTCCCCTCCTTCTCCTACCTCTCTCCCTCCCCCTCTTTCCTCCTCCTCCTACCCGTCGGTTCTTCCTCCTTCCTTCCCCTTCCCTCCTACTTCCTTCCCCTCCTACTCCCTTCTCCTCCCTCCTACCCCCTACACCCCCTCCTCCCTCCCTGCAGATGTCTGCCTGTCTGACACTATTCCCTCCCTCCTACGCTCTCCGTCAGAAGAGACTTAGCGGCATGCGTACCTGATAAGAGTCGACTTCGACCAAGTGGTATCTACAACTTCAGTTAAAACAACAGATCTTGGTGCGCGGCGCTTACAGAGCGCTCTACCCATTCCCTCTCATTCGCCTCCTCCTCCTCGCTACCCTCTTCCTCCGCTCCCCATCCTTCTTCCTCCCCTCTCCCTTCCTACCGGCCACCTTTCCTCTCTCCGCCTCCGCTCTTTCCTTCCTCCTTGGCCGCCTCCTTCCTCCTCCCTCCTTCTCTACCCACCTTTCTCTCTCCTCTCCCCGTCCTTCTGCTCTCCGCTCTCTCGCTGCACGGTGTCCAGCCTGCTATCTCCCTATTTGAGGTCGAGCGGGGAGACCAATTTATTCGGTCTCAACCGCGTGCCACCCTCCTACTTGTAGCGGGACGCCTGGCCCTCCTCCTCCCTCCTACCGCCTCCCCTTTCTCTTCTCTCGTCGTCGTCGCCCCTCCAGTTTTTCTCTCCTCCTTCCCCCTCCCATTCTCTCTCTCTCTCTCGTCCCTCCCCTTTTCTCCTCCCTCCTTACCCCTCCCCTCCCCTTCTCTCTTATCTCTCGTCCTCCCCTTTCTCCTCCCTCCTACCCCTCCCCTTCTCTCTCTTCCCTCGTCCTCCCCTTCTCTCTCTCCCTCGTCCCTCCCCTTCCCCTTCCCCCATAAACACAAAACTGTTGTCTAACAGACCGGCGTCGGGAATGGGAAGTTTAGTGCTGTGTAAGGAGAGGAGGGAGGGGAGAGGGAGGGAGAGAGTGAGGGAGGGTGGGTGAGAGTGAGGGAGGGTGGGAGGTAGAGGGTGAAAGAGGGTGAGAGGGTTAGGGAGGGTGAGAGGGTGGGAGAGAGTGAGGAGGTGAGGTGAGGGAGGGTGAGAGGGTGGGAGAGAGCGAGAGGGTGAGGGAGGGTGGGAGAGACTGAGGGGTGAGGGTGAGGAAGGGTGAGGAGAGGGTGGGAAGGGGAGAGGGAGGGAGGGTGAGAGAGGACGGAGGGAGGGGGTTGAGAGGTGAGGGGAAAGGTGGGTGGGATAGGTTGAGAGGGTTGGGAGAGGGGGTGAGGGTGAGAGGGTGAGGAGGATGAGAGTTGAATAAGAGGGTGGGAGAGGGTGAGGGAGGTGAGAGGGTAAGAGGATGAGGGTGAGAGGGTGTGGGTGAGGGAGGGGAGAGGGTGGGAGGTGGATAAGAGGGGTGGGAGAGGGTAGGAGAGGGTGAGAGGGTGAGAGGGGGAGGGAGGGGGAGAGGGCGAGAGTGGATAAGAGGGGTGGGAGAGGGTTTTTTATATGTATGTTGAGATGGATTAGGTTCCGAAGTTGCTCTCGCTGCCGCCACGTCAAGGCTGGGTTGGACGGGTCGTGTGTCCCGTGCTTTTTCTTCTTCTTTTCTGCTTCTTCTCCTTCTTCTTCGTCTTCTTCTTTTCTGTTTCTTTTCTTTTTCCTTCTTCTTTTGTTGCTTCTTTTCTTTCTTCTTCTTTCTCTGCTTCTTTTCCTTCTGCTTCTTTCTTCTTCTTCCTCTTTTCTGCTTCTTTTCCTTCTTCTTCTTCTTCTTCTTTTCTGCTTCTTTTTCTTCTTCT